AGCACCATCTTTTGACAAAGGCGACACCCTAAGCAGGATACCACACACCATCAGGGCCCGTGCCCTCTGCTCCTGCCCCCTGGGGCCTGGTGCATACCCTGTCCACCCATGTTCAAACCCTATTGGCCCCTCACAGCACAATTCACACTGTTTCCTCCATGGTCCATCCCATCACCCCAATCCAACTTGTACTTCCCCCCGCACCAGGGCACATTCCTGTTACTTTATGCTGGGCCAGGGAGGCCCATGAGCCAGAACAGTGGTCCTGGCTGAATTAAAGACACCACAAATGCTAGCTGCTCATACAGAAGGGCCAGGATTTGCCATTCGAGATGATCAGATTAACAACTTTATTCTTTATCAACTACAAAAGGGCTGGTGTTCTTGTTCCAAATGGATCGTTGGTAGGTCTGAGACCCATAGGGGACCTTTGTACTCCCTGCTGATGACGATAAAATGCTGCATTCAGTCAGCCCCCTGCTAGCGGTGTGGGCCTAGTGACCAGAAATCCAGACCAACCTCCTGAGTGTCTGAGGGCAGAGGCCAGAGTAGAGGCCACAGCTTCCAAATGGAAAGGAAGTGGTTATGCTCACAGGGGCCGGAGACTTCAAACAAAGCGGGGTTCCACCTGCTCTGAGGCTCTACCAGGGCCAAATCCTGTGGAAACAAATTCCACAGCACCTGCCATGGGGACAGAGCACGGGGGCCCTCAACGCCGGAGCCCTCCCATTATGAAGGCGCCAGGGGGTAGCGGCCCCTGGAAGTGGAACCGGAGTGAAGAAGCAAGAGGGAAACAGCCAGCAGACAAAGGAGCAGGAAGGGCTGAGGGACACACGGAGCAGCGGCCCCGGAGCGGCTGGGGGTGAGGGCTGCTGCGTGCGCAGATGCGCCTGCTGGTGGCCCTGCTCCTCTGAGCTTCAGGTTCCTGACACAGAAAAATGAAACCACCGCCCCCTCCCTCACAGACAGCAGCTGCGGACATTAAAGAACATGAAGCGAGTGAGACACCCATCACGGCCCCAGCCACACAGCAGTGACGTGCCAATGCTACATTTCTCCTTTCGAGCCCGTCCCCCAGCTTATGGCCTCTGCTATGGACTTGGGAGTAAAAGCGGGTAGTGAGTAGCATGGCCAGCCACCGGGTACCCCCCACGTGCTGGGCCCTCAGGGCCTCACATACGTCCTAAGTCCTCACCCCCCAACCCCCTCCTCCATGCAGGCGGTTACCTCTTGCTGTAGATGAGGAAACTGAAGTTCAGAGAAGGCTGGCAGCTTGTCCTGGGTAAGGGCCCGGGGAGGAGCCTGGGCATGGAAGCCACGCCTCCGCTAGGAGAGGCTGGGCTCCCCTCCTCCCTCCTGCTCTGAGGACAGGGGCTCTAGGGCAACTGTGTTCCCGGTGACAGCACCTCCACCTGGAGGGGCTAGACAGGGAACAAGACACTGTCAACTTGGAACAAACTTCTATTTTGTGTGCTGGTCTGGTCAGGCCACGGGTCAGTGGTAACTAGAAATAGCTGGAAGGCAAAGTGAAGAGACCAGCAGTCCAGGAGCAGGACATCAGGAGAGGGGTTGGGGACAAGAGGGGAGCAAGGCTGAGGAAGGGCCCAGCCCGCTGGGGGTCTGCCCATCAGTCCACCCTAATCAGAGGGCTCCAGACCAGGGGGCTCAGGGCCCACGCTGCCATCTCTGGCCTGGGCAATCCCGCCCCCACCCCCTCCCCAGGCAGCGATTCTTCCAGAGGGCTTAATGCTCAGCTTAGTGCTGGGCCTGGAAGAGTCCTTTTTACTGCCCTCTCCCTGTTCTCCCTGCACCCCGACTGGGCTTCCAGGGCTCAGGCCCTTCACTGTAGCAGCCATGTTGGGGCGATGTGGTAGGGGTGTGGGGGGCAGGAGGGGGTCCGGTCCCCGCCTGGCTCAGAGGAACACCTGCACCCCACCAACAGGGAGTGCTCATGAGCATGACCTTGAGCAGGCAGACCCCAGTATAGGTCATCAGTGTCCTGACACCCAACAAGATTCAAAGGCCAAGCAGGAGGCGGCTCCTAGACAAGGCAAGAGCCTCCAGCTCAGCAGAATCACAAAGCAGGTGCCAGCCAGGCAAACACAGGATTGTCTCCAAGGGGAAAGAAAAGCCACCAGCTGTCTCTGGGTGAGTGGCAAAGGTCGGAGTTAGGGGCAGGGAGGGCCCTACAATCCAATCACCTCTCCCCCCCACACACACCTACAGGCTACAATTTAAGAGCTTTTGGCATTACTTGTTTTGGGGTTTAAGGAGAAAAAGGGAGAGAAAAGAGGAAGTCAGCACTACACCCCCCCCCAGAAGGCCCCAGTCCCAGGAGGGCTCCCTGAGCTGGCAGCAGCAGCACTTACACCTGGAACCCCCCCAGCCCTGAGGCCAGCTCCACAGAGGGGCTCTGGGTGCAGAAGAGCGCAGGGAGGAAGGACACCCTTCAGCTCCTGACAGCCCCTACAGGTTCTCACAGAGACACACGGACGGACGGACAAATGGGCAGGCAGCCAACTCCTGGAGGCTGGTGGCCAGCCATGGCAGAGGAAAGGAGAAAGACTGTCCCTGACTGGCCACACTCCTGCACAACACATACACGCACACACACAATTAGAGAGAGGTATAATAAAAAGAATAAAAACTAAGGGCCCAGATGTACAAAAACTGGGGGTGAGAGAGAAGGCGGGCAAGAGGGCGGGAGATGGTCAGTCCTCCGGAAGTCTGGCCACCTTCCTCAGCTTATAAATTACAACGCCCCTGGAAACGGGGGGTGGGGGAATGATGAGGCTCCGGCTGTGGCCTGGGGGGAAGGTGGGTGGCGGTCAGAGCAGCTCTGGCCCATCTGGTGGAGCGGTGGCCAGAGTATGAGGATCCCATGGGGGTGGGGGAAATTCAGCAGCCACTGGCAGGAGTCACGCAGGCCCCCTGGGACTTCACTTTGTGACGCTGGCCCCCTCGTCGCCGGCCCCCACTGCTGGGCTTGGGCTGAAAGAGAGAAAGGAGGAGCTTGAGAAGCAGTGGTCCACTGGGAGCAGGACAGGACAGCAGAGGGGCAGGGGCAGTGGGAAGAGGGGGCAGGAGACAACAGCAGGCCGTGGTCCCAGCCTAGCCTGAGCAGCCATCACGCGGACTGGACCATGGCTCCGCCCTCTGGCAGAGGGAGCAAGCACTGCCCTGCCTACCTTCCTCCGGGGCAGGTGGGTCGCATGTGATAAGGGGTGTGTGAGAATTTGGAGAAGCACAAAGACAGCCAGAACCAAACCTGCCACCACTGATAAGTGGAGAGAAAGGAATGAAGGAGCCAGAAGCAAGCTCAAGGCCCGAAAGCAGAAAGGGTGGGTCCGGGCAGTAGCTTCCTTCTCTAAGAAGGGGTCAGACGGAGAAAGACTGGAAGGAGCAAGCGGGGTAAGGGGACACCAAGAAGGGGACAGAACTGGCAGCGGATGCCGAGAGCTAAGATGACACAGGGCCCAAGGCCACCGACCCCTCAGGAGGTGTCATGTCAGGGGAAGGGGCACAGAGGGGCCCTCTACAGCAGTATCTGTCAAAGCTCTGGACCACGGGCACACACGTCACCCACACTCTCACACACACCAACAGTCTTACTATGAAAGGGAAACTTTGAAACGTGAAACCAAATACTAATCACAACCAATTAGATTGATCTTACGTAGGCCACATCTCGAAATCTGAAAACCAGCCTTAAGAGGTAAGTAGCTCACACTTAGATAGCAGTTATGTGCTAGGAGTTGTGAGAAACACCTTTAAATGCAGACATGGCAGTGGGCGAAGGCTGCCTGGAGCTCTCCTACATGTCATCCTCCACCAGAGTGACAGCCACACCCCCACCACCTTACCCACAGCCCGCCTCAGGTGGTCAGGAGCCCAGGACCAGCCCGGGGGGCCAGGAGACATGCTCACCATTGGCTGGAGACTGCTGGGTGCAGCTGACGGCGCAGCCCCTAGGGAGCAACCTTCATCTCCAGGTGGGGGCACCCCTACTGCCGACCCTCCAGACAGACCCCCGTCTTCTCGTTTGCTCAGGGGGCCTTTTTTCGTTGACTGCATTTTAATCTGCTGAGGCTTGGAGTTCATGGGGGAGTTGTTGGTAGTCTGGAGGAGCTGCAGGAGCCAAAGGGATGAGGATGAAGCCCGAGCTGCAGGCAGTGACATCAGCTCAGCTGCTCACTCCTCCGCCTGCTCTCTTAGAGACTTCTCATTCCCTGGCCTGGCTGGTCCTGGGTGAGGGCCCAGGGTCCATGGCACAAGGACCATGCCAGGCGCAGTGAGATGGAGAGACATTCTCACCCCTGCTCAGCATTCCAGGGCTGCCTCAGCTCAGCCCAGCCCAGCAGAGCTCCATCCCGTCCGCTGCCGTGGCTGCTCTTCCCACAGACAATGGGCAAACCTTGGCCCCCTCCCACTCAGCCCAGCTCCCAGCCGGAGCCTGGCAAGCTGCACTCCAGGCTCTCTTCCTTACTGAGCCCACAAAACTCTTCAGAGCGTCGACTGCATCTCCAGGCCCAGGACCCTGCTGCCTTAGAACAAGAGTCAGGGGCAAGTTTTAAGTTCAGGCCTCCCAGAGACCAAGTGAATATCTGAGCAGCTGGAAATGTCTGCAGTGTGGCTATCAGGAAATCCTAAGTATGGTCATCCAGGAGGGTTGCCCTGCTCCAGCTCTCCCAAGGCAGACTGGCGCCTCTGTCTCTGGCAATCGGGAGATTCTGCAGGGCTTCTCAAGAAGCACCTGCTGTGCACAAGGTCTAGAGGTGGAGTGGCCCCCAGTGTATGCTGAGGGCAGGCGAGTCTGCCCAGCCATACCTTGGTGATGGTGCCCACGGCCTTGGTGCGGCCTTCCCGGAACACCAGCCGCTGGTCTATGTGTAGGTACTCAGGGGTCTTAATGAAGCGGAAGTGCACAGTGGCCTTGTCCCCAGTGCGCAGACAATCCTTGTCCATACTCAGAATGGTGGCCGTCTGCCTGATGCTCCCACAGTGCACTGCCAAGGGAGCCAGGGGTCAAGACAGGGTTGGGCCACCCACTGGCCTCAACAGAGGCAGTGAATGAAAGCAAGAAATGCGCTTGAGCTGCGGCAGGCTGCAGACTTCAGGGAGGCCAAGCGAGCTACAGGCTACTCTGAGATCTGACCCTGCTCCACACTCTCCTACCTTTTCCACCAGTTAGACCCCACCTGTCCCCAGACTCGCGTCCCAGTTCCTGAATACAGGGCATTGTGCTCGCGTGTGTGCCTTCTCTAGACTGTTCACTTCCTGAAGGCAGGGCTTTTGCCCATCTGGTCTTTGTCCCCAGCACCTTGGCAACACTTGGCACACAGCAGCATTCAGTAGAAACTGCAGGCAGAGAGCCACACCCGGTTCGTGTTTGCAGGACTGAACAAACACTACAGCTTGTGGGTGGAACACAGGGCAATGCTAAACAGGAAGGAGGCCTGCCTTTTGGCTGGAGTTGACTCTTTAGTGGTAGGGTCGCTGGAGCACTTGGTGGAAGTTCTAGAGTGGGGGGTCCCCTGGACTGGCAATGCCCTTTGACACCTACCCATGGCCTGGTAGCGCGGGCTAATCGTGGTGGGGTGGTGGAGGACGAGGATCTCAGCCTCAAACTCCCAGGATGCTTGAGGATTCAAGCGCGGGGAAACCATCACCATGCCCTTCCGGATAGAGGAGCGCTTAATCTGAAAGAACGAGAGAATCCCAGACCTCAGGGACAATGATTCCTTCTGGTTTCAGCCCCTGGTCCCAGAGGCCCAGGAGTCCTTCTGGGAATGAGGACCACCCGAACTTGGCCTTGCCCTCACTGCACTGAACCACAGGCCTTCTAGGCAGATTCTAGTGCAACGTGAGAAGCTTAAGCACTGCAATTGGGGGGCAGGAAAGGCTTTGTGCAGGAAGTGGCACTTCAGCTGGGCGTTGAAGGGTGGGTAAGAACTAAGCGGGTGGTTAGAGGACAAAGGCAGGCAAGCATGAGGTGGAAGGGACAGGGAGAGCAAGACATGACTGTTGGTGGGAATAAAGTTCCACTTTGCCAGTTAATCTGGTTGTTGAGGGAGGGAGATGACACCAGAACTAGCACCACTCCCAAGCCCCGGGGGACAGAAGGCTGAATGAGAAGAGGATTTGGCACAGACCCCCAACTGCCCTATGGGAGGTCTGCGCGCAGACAATCCTTGTCCAGCAGGGAAGCACCTAGCTGACCTCACCACGGAGTTCAGGGCATCCTGCTCAGGCACTAGGGGAGGAACAGAGCTTAGGAGGCAGGCCGGCCTGGGTCCAAGTCCCAGCTCTAGCACTTACTACCTGTGGCTCCTGGCATGTCACTCAGGCTCTCTGAGCCTCAGTTTCCTCATCTATAAAAGCGAAGTCAGTAACCCCTGCCTTGCAGAGCAGCCCTGAGGACTGGGGACAGCCAAGAGCCCAGCACAATGTGGAGTCCGAGGGGAGTTCTGGTATCACCAACACTCACCTTCTTCAGTGCAAAGGAGGCTGTCTGGCCCCCCCGCACCTCCTTGACAGGCATGCGCTTTCGATGGATCGATTTGACAGCGATGGACAGGAAGTTACCCAAAGGATCTGGACCCAGCAGCAGTGTGTCATTCAGCTTAATCAGGCCCCTCAGTGTTGTCCCCGACACCACTGTCCCCACACCCTGCAGAGAAGATCCTGGTCCAGTAAGTCCATCCCCACTCAGCCCCTTCCCACCACAGACTCAACCCATCGCACCCTGTGGGAAGTGCCTGCCCGGCCCCTGACCCTGCTCGGCCCCCTAGGAGCCGCTCACCGGTACAGAGTAGGTGTCATCAATCTGGAACTCAGCAGGCTCCTCCTCCCGGTAGCTGGTACGGGGGGAGAGCAGGTTGAGGAACATCTTCAGCAGATCTAAGTTCTCGCCAGTAACATTGGAGATCTGGAATATCGGGCACATCCTACATGCAGGGAGGAGAGAGAGGAAGAAGTCAGGAGGCCAACCCCTGCCTGACACAGGATGGGAACAGCAAGAGGGTCCTGGAACAGCTGCTATAGCGAAGGGCCCCAGTGCCCACTCGCCCACCTCCCAGCGACTTGTGCCCCCACCAGCGACTCCTGCCAAACCCACTCTGAGGCCTCCTAAAGCCCACACATGCCTGCTTAAAATCCCTAACCACCTAATCCACTGCTGAGAATACAGCCCAGATCCTGCCTCCCGACATCTCTGCAGGTTTATTTCTCTTAAATGCCTGTACACTAGCCAGACTAGAAAATCCTACCTTCTCCTAAAAGCTTGATGCTTTTTTGCCCCCATGTATCTGTTTACTCTGATGCTCCTGCCTGCATCTCTTCTCTCTTACCTAATTACCAAAACCTCTCATCCTTCAGAGCACATCTCCAATGCTGCTTCTTCCAGTAAACCCTTCCCCAAAACCCTTCCCAAACGGGCATTTGACTCCTCTCAGCTCTGGGAGAACTTTTTGTCTCTGTTACATGTCACTATGTCTGATTTTCCATCAGTTATCCCAAAGGCCTCTATATCTCCTATCCGGGGTTAATCAAACTCCTTGAGATCAGAAATTGTATGTTCCCCACAGCTCCTAGAACAGCACCTGCACAGAACAGGCACTAGACAAAATCAATGAATTGAAATGTACCCCCCTCTGGATGACCAAATGGTGGTAGTAAAGACAGTGTCATGGCAGAGCCACAGGCCAGCATGCCAGGCTGCCCTAGGTCCTGTACTACAGACCAAGTCAAAAGGCAGATGGCTCCTGGGCAGCCCCAAGACTCTGGGAGAAGGAACGGAGTTAACGAAGTTCACTATTATCAAGAGTATCTCTGACCGCGGACCCAACCAGGACGAGGACAGTGCCCGAGTCCTCTCTGAATCTTCGACGCATAGCTGAAGAGCTTGGCACGGAATAAACATCCAATAAATATTTACTCAATCAAAGGACACTCAAGGCCTAAAGTGATCTGTGATTTGAGAGCTTTTGAGAAACAGCAATAGTACAAAACATTACTAATAACAAGTTATAAGAACTGTGCATCTATCACACAGCAGCCAGGCACAGTGCTAAGTGCTTTCCGTACATCATCTCCAACACTTACGGGAGCTCTGTGGAGAAGGTAGTATGATTCCCATTTCCCAGATAAGGACACCAAAGTCTCAGCTGGGATTCCAATCTCAACAAGACTGGTACCTCCAAATCTGGGTCACCCGATAGAGCCCCCCGGACAACAGTGCTGATCTGGGAGACCTTGTGCTCAGACCAGAATGGTCTATTTCATCCAATCCCCGAAGCGAGTGCTCCCCTATGCCATCACCTCTCAGAGCTGAAGTTGGAGGCCGTGACGATCACGTCATCCTTGCTCTGCACCAGCACAGGGATCTTCCGGCAGCCGGGCGACTTCAGCAGGCGCTGCAACAGCTTCAAGGTTTCTAAGGAGTGAAATGGAACAGAATTAGGGGGACACAGCCTTCTTTTTGGCCAGACTTCCGGGGCAAGACAGGTCCACTCATTACTGATGCAAGCAAGAGACAATGTTAAATACCACAGTGCCCGGGAAAGCACAGAGGAGGATGGAAACAGTGGAGGCATGCTTGTTCGAGCAGAAGGAGCACAGGTGAGGCCTGTCTGCTAAGGGTGTGAGTCTGAAACCCGTCGAACTTCTCCACTCTCTAGAAGACCTGCATCCTATAAGTCAGAGGTCCCCAACCCCCAGGCCATGGACCGCTACTGGTCTGTGGCCTGTTAGGAATCAGGCCGCACAGCAGGAGGTGAGCGGCAGGAGAAGCTTCATCTGTATTTGCAGCCGCTCCTGAGCTCCACCTCCAGATTCTCACAGGAGAATCCCTGGTGCCAAAAAGTTTGGGGGCCACTGCCATAAGTGACAGGGGGTGGGGGCATCCATAAAAAGGACAATGCTCTTCCCAGAATACTCTGCTTCCAGGGAAAAAAAAGCACCTGACAAAAGGATCTCTAGGAGCTGCAGACACCTGCAGAAGCCCTAATGAGGCCCTCCAAAAGGATACCTCTCCACTTCTCTTCTGCCATCTGTAACAATGAGGGAGAAACGCATGAAGGCCTAGGCCTGCAACCCTGTTTTGAAGCCTTTGGTGGTAAGAAGTAACCATCCACTGTCCCAACATTGCCGCATATATCCAGCCTACATGTAAAATCTAACCCTTCTGCCTGGGGCCATCTGAAAAGAGGTGCCAGATTAGAGATCTTAAGAATCTTGCATTTGGAACCAGAAAGAACAAAAAGCAGGGGATAATTCTAAGCTGTGCTAAGGCCAAGAGCTAAACAGGAGACAAAGCACAAGATCCTAGGCTGATGGAAATTCAGGTCAAGGTCTAAGCACAAGATAAGGAAGCAGAAGATTTGGGGCTGAAGTCCTGGCAGCGGATCAAGGAACCACAGTGGGTGACAGCTCCCAACAGAGAGACTGCTGCTAGCTGGAGGCTCCACTTACCTTGCAGGATGTTGGCAGGACACATGTCAATCTTGGTGACTACCACAAAAACAGGCACATTGAGTGCCAATGCCAAACCCAGGTGCTCCTTGGTCATCCCCACGATGCCGGCATTGCTGCCCACCTGCCCCAACACAGAAAAAGAACCGTCAGGGCAAGGGAGGCAGAGGTTGCTGCCAGAGGGGCACAGAAGCTCAAAGAAGGCTAGGGTAAGAGAGAACTCCCATATATCTGAGGCCTCCACCGGAACAGGACAAAGCGGGCAAAGTCGCAGGCCAGGAACAAAACAGCTAGCTATAGATGAAAGCTGGGCTGGGCAAAGATCGCTTTAACTTCTGATTCAGTGATGTAGGTCACCAAAATCTGAGGAGACTTGGAAGCACAGAAAAGACAAATCTAGACAGTTGGGAAAAACGACTATCTAGGGTCATCAAAGGAGGTTCAGTTTAACATTCCTGGCCCGCAGTTTCCTCATCTATAAAGTGGGCGGATAATAATATCCACTTTAGAGGGATCACTTGTTTAAACATTGTAACATGTCAAAAGTGTAGCACACACGAGCATGAATTAGGTGTTCAAACAATGGCAGCTGTTATTACTGTTGCTAGTCCTGCCCATAGTGTTTTTAAGTATCACCACACAGGCTGGCCAAATAAATTAGGGCACACGCGCAAGGCACCAAATGTGCCGTGAAAGAAAAGGAGGAAACTCTTATCTACGGATATAAGATAATCTCTAAAATATATTTTTAAGGGGAAAAAAATTCAGGTATAAGTAGCACACTACTGATTAAAAAATGGTGATTGGATCATTGTTTGAAAAAAAAAAACAGCTGTGTGACATTTGGGGAACTTCTGAAATATAAATACTTATAGACTAGATATTAGAGGATATGAGGGCCCTCGTGTTCACTTTGGTTACAATAACAATAGGAGACAGTTCTTACTCTTAGGAGCTGCGTGCTGAAGAATTTGGGAGTGAAGAGTCAAAATGTCTATAAGCTACTTTCGAATAACAAAAAAAAAAAAACAACAAATAAAAACATGCATCCATCACATATACAGATAAACATGGCAAAATGTTAATAACCACTGAATCTGAGTGGCAGGTTTAGGTATTCATTATACTATTCTCTCAACTTTTCTGAATGTTTGAAATTGGAGGGAGAAAATACATACACTTTTACTGGTATGATCACAAAATATCTCTGGAGGATACATCAGAAACTAAAAATACTAGTTGTCTCTGGGAGGACACTGGACAGAGCCCTTTGGCACCTTTTTTTTTTTTCTGCATCACATAAACATGTTACTTACTAAAACAAATTAAAATTGCCACAATATAGTGCTTTATACGTTCCAGAGTGTTTTCAAGGATGTTCTCATTCGATCATCACAGCTCACAGGTGAGCTATCATCCCACTAGTTAACAATAAAAAAGATGTCCCTTACCTGTGTTCCCTTTCGCCTACACCAAGACACCTCCACCATCTTCCTCCTAATTTTCCCATTCCCTCCAATCTTTCTTACACAACCCAGACTTGCTTTTGTTGTTCCCAGCCTGGGTAAGAGAGAGCTTTATTGCTTTGTTGTATATATATTTTAAAGATTTCCCCCCTCCCCCCCCAAAAATTGATTGCCATGGAACGATAATGAAATATTTCACTGTTCTCTACAGAAAAATTTTAATATTTGGATCGTGGCATAAAAGTCTGATAATATATTTCATCTGAGTGAAGATCTTCCCATTAACTGGCCTTACGGTAGCTCAGAAAAATGTTCATTTTAAACTGATTTCTATACTTTTTTTAGTATCAATCCAACACCCCCCACAAATATGACCCATGGTGCATCCATGGAAACTCCTTCTTATAGAGCAGCTTTCCTTAGCCCAGTTGACAAGGTCGGTAATGGCTGCTTGCAGTGATCAAAGATGCGGGAGATGAAATCACACCGAGACCCCAAGAACCTTGGGCAGAGAGCCGACGAGTGTTCATACAGATGCTCCTTCTCTCTCTACCCTCCAGTCTGGGGAGACGCTGCCTGAGAACCTGTGTTTACAGCGCAACTTGATCAAGTCTGCTCTGAACAGATGCTTGTGTTTACTATACTTATTAATTCGGGCAACTGGAGGAATTGGAATATGGGGAAGGGCTTTGAGAAGGACTTGCCAAAGTAAAACTTGCTTGCTCTCTCTCTTTCTGTGAAAGCTGTGAAGCTGCCGCCAAGGCTGTGGGCCTTGCTGATTCCTACTCTCTGTCCAGGGAAGAAGGTCAAAGGGATCCAAATACAAGCTTAGCAGTAAGATCTAATGCACAAGCTGCTGCTCCCTTTCCTTTTCAGTTCATCTACATAATGAGCTGCTTAAAAATCTATCCCCACGAGGCTGTAGGCTCTGCGGGGCCCCAGGCTGGCCATGCATACGCTGCTGCATCTTCAGGCCCAGCGTGGTACCAGAAACACAGAAGCCTCTCAACAAGCAAACTCGTTCCAGGCTTCAGACAAGGCCACTCTCAGGTCCCTCCTGAGTGCTGTGCTCTCCTCCATTCCTTCCCCCCAGCCTACCCTTCTTGGAGGGTATGCCTGGTGTCACCCCCTCAAAGTAGCCCAACCTCAGAAGAAAACATTTCTAAAGATAATAAGTACACCCCAGAGAAATCCTCTATGTCTCTCCAAAAAAATGAGAGGTCTGCAAATATCATGGTTATTCCTTAGGGGGACCTATCCAGGTCTAACCTAGGAGATCAAGGTACACTGCTGAAGAAGACTGTGATGCTCAGAGGACTGGGTACCCCAGCAAAGCCTGTCATCCTTACCCAGTGTCAAAACCCCAAAGAGACTTCAGCCTCAGAACAATGTCAAACACTTGCCCATAACCACATCCCTAAGAGCTCTGCTAGAGCATCCCCACCCCAACCCCACCCCCACGTAGCTCAGCTGGCCCCAGGGCACCTGGGCCATGAACTGGGACTTGCCAAGACACTAGTATAAAATGTGTTTTTTTCTTTCCTTCTGCTGGGTTTTAGGATCACATCTTTCGTCACACTCGAGCCTGTCCAGGAGGGTAGCAGGGAACAGCCCTATCCGCGGGGAGTGCCTCACACTCACCATGAGCATGCAGAAGTCGGGCAAGTGGCCCGTCATGCCAAACACAGTGGTCTTCAGGTATTTCTCGTGGCCCGCCAAGTCGATGAAGGTAATCACCTTAGTGGACTTCTCACAAATCTTTGTCCACTCCAGGCTGCCGCCATGGCTATCTGGCTTATTCACCACGTTGCCTTCACTGTCAAAGCCCAGAATGTCGTTGCCCACGCTGCTGGTGCGACCAGATTCAATCTCATGTTTGTGGCGGAAGAGCTTCTGGCGGGCAAAGCCTCGGCCATTGTCCAGCTCCCCGTGTGTCAGGACCCCCAGAAGTGTGCTTTTGCCAGCGTCCACGTTGCCCACTACTGCTACCCTGCAGGTACAAGAACCCATATTTCCACGTGAGAGTTAGCGGGGCACAAGGTGAACCCCACTAGCTGGATTTGTAAGGACCGGTTTGCTCCTGAGTCTCTCCAGCTCACTGCTCCTCCTGTTCATGGGTAAGCACATCGAGAATGTTCCTGGAGGTGCCAGAAAGAGTTATTCAGGAGGAAGCGGGCTCCCACAGTGGGTTTCTCCCTGAACTTCCACCAGCTTCCTCAAAGCTGCCAGACAGGGGCTCCGAAGTCAGGAGAGACCCAAACGCTCTGCTCTCCTCCGTCACTCTGCTTTCTAGCCTTGCAGGCTGATGAGAAAGAAAACACAGCCCACAGAACGTATGGGTGGCCTCTCTCCCACTCTTCCCAAGTGGGAATATTTAGGGACGGGGAAGTGCGGAAACAGAATGGAGCTGTGGTGTCCTGGACACTCTCTCCATGCCTCACAAAGGGAAGGGGCGAAGCTGACACAGTCGGTGTCGAAGGCTCAATCCCCATTCTCTATAAAGCCCTAGACCCTGAGGCCATGCTACAGGGGACCTCGGGACTGCTCTGAGGCCTCCTCACCTGACCTCCAGGAAGTCATTGTCTCCTACTCGTTTCCGGACCAGGTAATCACGCACACGACCCCCAGCTTCTTGCCGATCCCGCAGGAGGATGACATCGGCCTCTATCTGTTCTGCCATGCTCTTCACTGTAGCGTAGGAGGCCTCCATGTCAGCTTCACTCAGCCCGTACTCAGTCCCATCTGGTGACAAAAGTCCAGACATCAGCGTTTCAACAAGCCAGCCAGCCAGCCAACCCCTCAGAAAAGCCCCACCCCAGGCACTGAAGAACGTGGCTCTTTCTACCTGACACTTTTCACAAACAGAGCTAATAAATGATTGTGCCATGGGCTTCCTCATTAAGCAGGGCATTCATTAATTCACTCAACAGTAATCACTGAGACTCTTGGGTTTTATGCCAAGCCTCATGCCGAGTCCTGGGAATACAGGTGCCCTTTGCGGGCTCACGGCCCAGGAGGAGAGACAGGAAATTAATTAACCACAATGCAGCTTGAGTACCGTACTACAGAACTGTACAAGAAGAATGTAAAGCATGAGCAACTAGCATTGCCTGGGGAAGCTGAGGAGAGCTTTGCACGGTGCTGGGTCTCCAAGCGTGAAAATGGACCCGCAGAGAAAGAAGCAAAGACATCCTAGGCAGAGAAGCTAAGCATAGCGCATGGCAGATGACAGCACACTGAGGGACCCGTAAGCAGCTCGGTGTGTCAGAAAGCAGGATGTCAAGCGGCAGGAGACCACAGGAGAGGTGGCAGCGGTCAAGCAGACAGACGTTAGCAGCAAAACACATCAGGTATCAGGCAGTGGGAAGCCCTAGGGCTTTAGACGAGGGAGTAACGTGATCAGATTGCTGGGGGTTAGAAAAATCCGCTGGGCAGCGGTATAAGGTGCGCTGGCAAGTGAGAGTGGAGGGCGGGAGCCCAGTCAGGAAGTCATTCCAACAATTCAAGCAAGAGATAATGAGGACAGGGGACAAAGGGAAATGCGGAGCGAACTGAAGAATGATTTTAGGGATAGATTTTTAACTGAGGTAGCTCAGGTGAAACGTCCAGCAAGTAGATGGAAAAACAAAGCTGAGCTCAGGATAGGGAAGGGAAGAACCAACCAACCATTTAGTGAGTGCCTACTGACGACAATTCTCGTCAGGTGCTTTCTACTCGGTGTCCTGCGGAATTCCCACAATGACTCCCTCAGCTTTTCTCCAGCCTGTCTCCAAGAGCACCCGTGCTCCTTCCCTGGGCTAACCGCTCCCAGGCCCCAGCATGGGCCCAGACATTTTTACTACTTCCCAAAGACTCTGAAGCACCTCTTCTCACCCACCCTTCCTCCCCCCTCCACTTCACCCCTTACAAGCAAGCTCGAGCCATTCTTAAACTAGGAGAAGGGAGCCCCGCCCTCCTCCCTTGCCCCTGCTTCTCCCCTGAGCTACCTCTCCTTGAGCTGAGCACCTCAAGAGAGTAACTGAGACTTATTGACTGTCGCTACCTAGTCTCTGAATCTTACTTAAGGAATCTGGGAGAAACCAGTTTTCAAATGATCAATGGCCTTCTAAGCACTCATCCAACACCCCTTTCTTGACCTCAACAGCATGTGACACTGCTGGCCATTCTGCCTTTGTTTTTTGAAGCGCTTCCCACCCACGCCACCCACCTATTGCATGAACTCTCCTGATTTCCCTCTCCTCCTCTCTGGTTCCTCTTCCTCTGTCTGCTCTGCTGGCTCTTCCTGCTCCTGTCCCCGAAATGCCAGTCTTTTCCAGCAGTCGGCCAGTGGCCCTCTTCTCTGTCCTCTAGACATTCCTCTTGGCCATCTCATACTATGGCTTCAAATATCAATTTGAAAACTACAAAAACATTCATTTCTAGCACTGTCCTCTTCCCCGAGCTCCAGACTGAATGACTCCTAGAAGCCCAAAGTCTAAACTCAACAACCCAACCCCTCTCTTTAAACAACAGCACAAAAACGAACACCATTAACAACAGGTTAGTCCTCGTTGCAATCCTGGAGGTAAGCATTCCTTTCCCCATTTAAAAGTGGGCAAACAGAGTCCAGGGAGGTCTCGGAGCGGGTGGGAAGCAGAGGGGCCCTGTGAGCCTGGGTCTTCTGATTCCAAACCTAGAGCCTTTTCCTCTGGCAAGGGTTCCCCTTAATGCCAGACCGGTTCCTTCTCCTTCCAGTCCCCCAAGCTTAGCACTCAGGGCTCCAGTCCTGCTGATTCTAGCGCAGACCCGGCTCTTCTTTCCTTGTCCCTGCTCTCCTCCTTTTGCCAGTCCAATGCCACGAGTCTGATTCAGGCCCTTACTGTACCTCAGTCACCATAACAGACAGATCCCTAACCGGACTTAGCAAATCCAGTCTCTATTCCCTACAACCCATCCTGCAGAGACACACGCCCAAGCCCCCAAACAAAGCACAGCTCTAAGACAGTCACATCCCAGTCAAAGCCTTGGAATGACTTCCCAGGCCCAGCAGTGTTCACTTTCAATTCCTTACAGGCCTACCCCATTCATTCCACAGCCCCTCCCGTTTTGTCCCGGTGCAAGTGGCCCAGTAACCATGCCCCTTGCTCCCTGCAGGTTTCCAGCTCCATACTTTTGCCCTTGTATTTTCTATCCTAGAAAGCCCATCAGCACATCTCCACCCACCAAAATCCTACCTATTCCGCTCCTTGATGGCATTTACTGCACACTACACCCTGTGCAATCGTGTTTGGGATGCTGGCCTTCCTCCACCATACGAAAGCATCTCCATTCGGGACAGGAATCACATCTCAAACATTCCCTGAAGACACCGATGAAGGGTCCTCTGCCTATATCAAGCCCTCAAATGTTTGTAGAATGTAAAACAAATGAATAAAGAGGGAGCGGTTGGAAGGAGGAGTTTCTAAACGCAAGGCCCACTGAGCTCCGGCCATCTGGGTTAGCTGTACTTCAATGTTTGGGGGATTTAGCTCTTATTGTAAATTAGGCAATAACCTAGAGACAGACACTGCTGGTAGTGATCACGTGGTGACGAAAGTCAGGGTTTTGGAGCACAGCAAGGTGTCTCCACACAAAATGAGCAGGCAGGGCATTTGTGCTCTAGTCAGAGATTGGAAATAGATGTTTTCACTCTTAAGCTTTCTTCCAGTTTGGAGAATCTGCCACTCACTAGCTGTATGAACTTGGGCAAGTTAATTAAAACCCCTATACCTCAGTTTCCTTACCCAAGAAATGGGAATAATACTAACAGTTCCCATCTCTGAGGTCTTTCAGGATGAAATGAGGTCTGCCATGTCACAGTGTAAAACAGGGAAGGGCTTGCTGGAAGTGTTCCTCAGAGAAGGCCTGTTAACGCTGCCATTCTTGCCGGACCCCCAAATTCTCTCGACCCTTTCCTGATTCTGACACAACAAAAAGCAATGCTTTCAGGTCCTGTTCCACACCAGGGGGCAATCACCAATGTCATCTTGTCCATCCAGGGCTCCCAGAGGATGCCCCAGTCAAAGTACCCTCCTCCTCCAGCATGCACTGCATTTCTCACGCAGTAGGACTGGAGGCAAAGGCCAAGGAGGAAAGCCACAGAGGTCCAAGTACTAAAGGCCACATTTTTGCCCACACCCAACCCTAATGGGACTTCCGCCCTGCCATCTGACCTACCTTTCCTATATGCGCTCTCCTGCTCAACGTGCTGCAAAGCGTCTCCAAACTTTTAGGATAAGCTCTTTGGTGTGGCATTCGAAGACCCTCAAGATCTGGACCCTGCCTGTCCAGCCCACCCTCCTGACACTCCCACTTTACTGAATCACTGCTGGTCCACCAAATACTCCACAATCACCAATGGGCATGTGGCTTCCTCTGCTCACTCATTACTGCCTCCATTTACCTGAAAAACTCCTGCTCATCCTTTAGAACCAATTCAGGGGGTGCCTCCTTTTGATGCCTTTCCTGACTCCTCCGGAAAGACTATGTTCCCTGAACTTTTAATACAGTACCTGGCTCTGAGGTCATGACTTAATATCTGACAAAGGAAAAGGTTCTTTTTGAAAGAAATATCACGGTTAATCAAGTATAGCCTGGAACCCTTAAAAATTTACCACTGTAACTAGCTAACATTTATATAATGCTCACATATATGTCAAGGGTTAACCTTCACCATGACACCATGGGATAGATTATATTATTATCTCTATTTAAAGATAAGTTAAAGAGCCAGGAGGCGAACTCAGACCCGCCAGGCTCCAGACCCTAACTACTAGGACAGATTGCTTCCTTTTAAAAGATCAATCTTAAAACAAACAAACAAATAAGTAAGCAGTCAATCTCAAATCAGGAATGTATACTTAAAGAGCACATTCCTCTGCAATGCTCAGAATTTTTTAATATCTAACTTATTCATACAAAATTTCTCTGAGGGAGGGTGAGGAAAGATGTCATTATCCTCATTTTATAGGCAAAGGAGGTGATAAACAGAGATGATGCACCCAACACACACAGGAAGCAGGTGATGAAGCTGGCCCCTGGGGGCCTTGCATCTGGTTTAGTCCTCTGTTTGATGTTTGACTTGTTTAACTAGTTATGATCTCTACCTCAAAAGAATTCCAGCAGGAAGGAGTCACTAAGAATCTAACAGCATCCAATTGACAGATGCAAAGATAATGCTTGGATGTACAGACGTGTTAATGAATGTTTGACATCTTATGCTTTGCCACTGGAGGATTAATTAGTTGTGAGTTGCCAAGGCATGGTAAAACTCATTAAGAGTCCGCAATAAAGAACTGGGGGAGGGGGTTATCTTAAGAATCTGGGTCTTCAAAGAATAGTCCCAACACTTGTCGAAACTGATTTAGATGTGGTTTCTTCAATTCTATAAGCATGCATTGTTCTTTGAGTAGGTCATCCTGTTACAGCAGGCCAGATATGCACCTGACACAAAAGCTTTCAAAAGTCTGCCAATGATCCCTTAGTCACCAAATGGAATGGCTTTTCCTGGACCCGGCTCTCCTTGTTGTTTCTGTAGCACCTGATAATGCTGACCAACTCCCTCCCTTTCTTGACATGCAACCTCTTAGTCTGCCTATCTCCTGGACCATGCCTTCTTTAAGGTGGTGAGCCCTGAAACCAGGGGAGGTGGCAAGGGTGAAAAGGAAAGAATTGATATGAGAAACATATCGAAGGCAGGCACAGAGGCAACTGTAGGTCAAGCCCTTCTTCCTTCCTTGTGTCGCTCTTGCAGCATTTCCAAATATTGTTTTCTACTGAGGTTATCTGTGTATATGCCATCTTTCCTTCTTAGGACAGAGACCAGATTTCAATACCCAAAAGTGCTTTGCAACAGTATCGAGCCCTCAGAAGATACTAAATAGGTATCTGTCAAATAGTTAAAAAGTGATTTTGAAATTTTCTCCATCTTCAACTCGGTCTACAAAAGAATTATTATTTGCCTTTACAAAGCCTACATTAGCAAAGAACTGATCCTCCAATGATGCACTGAGGCCTACCGGGCCCTTCTGCAAAGATGACAGAAAAGTTGTGGTACAGGTTAAATTCATAATCATTAATATGCCTAGCTGCCACTTCAGCAAAGATAATGTCATAATGAAGATGAGGGTAAGCGGGTTTGAATTGAGGGTATAAACTAGGAATGACCAAGGGAAAAAAAGCCCAAGATATAATCTGGGATTCTGTCATGGGGGCTGCCTTCCTCTGAAACAATGCGCCCTCTTACGATGGAATAAGCAGATTGGAGTACAATAACCAGTTCCTTCCAGAATGGTAACAAGCCTCCATGTCTAACGGGATCTCACTGGGAGAAGAGAGGGCCTCCGTTATCACGACGATCCACACTGAATGGTCAGTGTGGTCCGGGGCAAGGAAGCCTCGCTAAAGAGAGGAATTCTGGGTGTCAGCTTCTTGCTGACATCAAGAAGAACCACGGAAGTTCTCTGCTAAGCAGGCAATAGTAGCAAGGGGACCCATAATCTGGGTTTGGAGGGAAGACCTAGAGCTGCCCAGGGAAGGCTTAATTCTAGCCTTGTGACTTGCTCTGTCCCCAGGACAAGAAGTTTCCTTGCTTTGTGCTTTATTCCCCTGTATGCAAGTGCAGAGTACTGAAGGTAGAAAAGAAGCTTCTGTAAAACCGCTTGGAAAGTGACTCTTTAAAGTCAAGCATATTGTAACCACTAAGGTGAGAATTAACATTATCGCTTTGTGCTTTTATGTCCTCCCCAACAGTCCTGCAGACACTGAACAGGAAAAGTGGGTGAAAAGACAGAAAATGTGCTCTAAATAGTTTTTTAAAAATAAAGTGAAAGGAAAACTATGCTCACCTGATCCCTGCCCAATGACATATATGGTCTCTCCGCATCCCTCGTCCATCCTCTCCCACATCTGCCGAAGTAGGCTGTCATACTGCTCTGACGTAGGGCTCACTAGGACCAGCTAGGAGAGAAACCAACAGCCTTAGGACCACTTACTAGAAGAGCACCACAGCCAAAGCAGAGCAGCAGCCTGATCAAAGACCCTGACTGAATCCCACAGCACCCTAATCTGAAATAGCTACGCAGTCCCCTCATGCCCTCTCTCTGCCCCTGTTTAAATAGCCATTGAGCCTAAGGCCTTGTATGAGTTTTTATATGATGTACTAAAATGACTATATCTGAAACACAACCCACAGAAAAGAGGGCGTGAACAGCCTGCCTCCTGCTGCTTAAGGAAGGGGAAGGATCGACAATGACTGAGAATCTGACGTTGTGGGTAGAAATTGATGAGCAGTGCTTCACACCTACACGCCAGTCTTCTACCTGCAGCTTGCAACTCAAAGGACAAAGATCTCCTATACTGCCATGCTCCCCACCCAAGACCAATGGTTGCCATAAAAAAAGAATTCTGTTCCACCTTGCCTTGGCTATCTTGATTATTTAGGAATCAGCAGTAAAAACTACTGCAAGACCCGTCTTCATCAACAAAACACCATTACCACTCAGATGCGTATTAACACCATCTTTTTGCAAATCTGTGCCAATAAGATTAAAGTATCAACCACTTATATGGAAAGGCCATTTACCAATAGACATGTTTTGTTCTATTGTCTAACCATTCATGTGTGACCTTGGATAAAGAACTTAACCTCTCTGAGTCCCGTTTTTTCAATCTATAAAATGTAGCTACCTGTGTCCAAAGGTCACCGTAAAGACCGAATGAGATAATGTGTAATGCATCTAGTCCATACAGTAAGTGGGAAGTACAGCTTTCTTCACCCCATCATTCCTAGAAAAACCCTGGATGAAACTAGCCACCATAGTTCTCTAATTGTTTCTCCCTTTGGAAACTTCCAGAGCCTTAGGTCTCCACATATAACTGCAGCAAATGTATAAACGTATAGCTTCTAATCTTTTCTTCAGGAATCAATCTATCATTTCATCCCTTCTCTCTCTCCACATCGTCAGTTTTTCTTTTCAATATCATCAATATTTATATACACATAGCTTCTCAGCTTTAAAATAATGAGGACTTCCCCAGCTATGTGAGAAATAACACTTCCCTATCCTAGAACATTAAGTTGATCAGGAAATAAAGGTATTACTCTTTGCAACTCTGCCCAGCAATCTCCGACTGTGTTTTCAGGTTTCTTCAGGACCACGGCCACAAACTGACATTCAGCTTATCTGCTTTTAAGTCAAGCATATCTCTCACAATTCCTGAGTTGACTCGGCAGAGTTTGTACTTGTAAAGTGCTGCCTGGGTCTTCTGCATCGTGTCACATTGCCTCACACCTTTCCCTTGACCTCCCTTCTATCCGAGCTTGACCATCCTCATTATGGAGGCACCAGGCAGGAACAATGGCTTTCAAGTGCTCAACTGGCACTAAAGGGAGAGAAAGCAGCTGAAACTTGGTTGCTTAGGTTTCAGGGAAAAGCTCCTCCAGTTTGGGTCAAGTTTCATGCACTTTTGCCACCAAAGACTGTGAAAAGTCACACACCTTTTCGAAACTCAATAAACATCTCTATTGTGATTTTCCAACAACAGGTAGGAGGAGGGGATTGGTGTTCTATCTTCCATTGGCTGCTATTAATCTGCACAGGGAATTTATCAGTTATTCAGTTCACTTCAAATATTTACTGAGCAGTATGTGTAAGGCACCATGTACTAGGTGTCATACACATTTATTGTCTTTATAACCACCTGTACTTAAAAAATGATGTAGCTGGAGAACTGAGAGGTTAAGAAATTTTCCCAAGATCACAGAGCCTTTTTAAGTGGCAGAGCAGGAAAGGTATCTGTTAAAAAAAACACAAAATTCAACCAAGTAAATTGGCTCTATCGAACGATTCGTGAATCACGCAGCATCCTACAGAGACTGTGCTCTGAGAGTAGTGCAAAATGGAAGGGTTTTTTTTTAATGGGAAACTGGGAGAGATGAGAAAGTTATCAGCAAAGTAAAGAAAGGATTGTTTCAGGCCAGGTCACCAGTTTTTAAGGGGAAAGGAGACGGGGCTTTTATCATGCAGATTACCTCTCTAGTGTAGGTGAGAAAACTACAGCTCAATCTTCCACATCTGGGAGAGGCTGAAACTGCAATTAAGTCTTGGTTTGCTGTCCTGGGAGCAAGTGACCCCACCTTGGGCCTGTTTCCTCTTTTAACAGAACCCAGCTTTGTCTGACTCCCAAGCTGGCATTCCTTCCTTTAGCACTGTTAAGCACCTTCAAAACACCAATCACATCTTATACTTACTTTTTATGCCCCACAATGCCAAGCAAGTGAGACCTTAACTCCTGTCCACCTTCTCAAGAGCTCAGAAGGCACGATTTGAAACGTCTTACATTATTCCATTCATCCAAGATGTGGTTCCCCTCCCAGGATGGCGAGATTATGGGTCATCCCCATCTTTCAATTTCGTTTTGAGTGGATCCGTAAAGTGAACATTGCTCAGACATCGTTCGCCCCAACCAAGCGACTACTTTGTTTCCTTTCCCGACACCAGGAAGAAATGCCTCCCCACTCCCCCTCGGATGACCAGATCTTCCCGCGCCGCCGCTGCCCCGGCCACCTTGGACTCTCGGCTGCCATGGACAGTCCAGGATGAGGGCCCCTCTCGGTCTCGGGAGAGGCGGCACTGCGCGGGGCGCCGCCGGCGTTGAGCTCTCGCGTTCCACGTGGCGGAGCCGAGGGGTCGTGATCTCGGCGGGAGCCAGACGGCGGGAGGCCAGGTCGGCGCGGCGGGGGGGGACGGGGGTGCTGGGGGCAAGCCTCCCGCCTTGCCCATACCGGTAAGTGGGCGGGCTCGCCCCCCCCTGCCCCCGCCGTCACTCCGAGACTGCTCGGCCCGTCGCCCTGTCCCCTAAGCGCCCGGTCCCCTGAGCGCCGCCGCCGGCGCCAAGGCCTACCTTGCTGGTGAGGTCCAGCTCCGGCTCGCCGTTGAGCGCCTCGCAGTCCTCGCTGCAGTCCGAGTCGAAGCCGCTGTGAAGCCGGGAGGCAGCCGCCGCGGCCCTGGCCGCCCCCGGGGAGTTGGGCTCGGGGGCAAACATAGAGGCCGGGACCGGCGAGTCCATCGGGGAGCGACTCCGCTCCGCCGCCATCTTTAATAACTTAGGCTAATTCGTAGCCGGCCTCCCATCCCTCCCCGGCTCATTTGCCTAATCTATGCGTGGCCCCGCCCCTCCCTTCATCGGAATAATTTATGCAAAACTTTTCCGGCCGCGTAGAGAAAGACACGTATCTCTAGCTAAGAAACAATCGATCAGGCTTCTCAGCCACCAATCATTGCAGCCCTTCAAAGCACCTCATGAATAATTAATAAGGCCCAAACCCAAACAACAAATGTCTGAGACGTCACGCGCCTGGATCGCAGCACGGGAGTGGGCAGCACCACAGCCGGGGAGTCTTTCCACCAACGGGAGCAGCGCACAGTGTGACTGACATGGCAGCCAACCATCCAATGAGGAGGGAAATACACACACACAACGCTTACCCTTACCTTCCCTCACTCTACTCCTTTGGAGAGGCGGTGCTTAGCGTCCAAATCTTACTGCAAAAACAGTCAGCTCCGAGAGCCGTGGGATGATGGACAGGATCAAGGCCCAATGTGTCATCAGATAGGTCTCGCGCCTCGGGCCACTGCCCACGGTGATAGTAAACTGCACCAGGCACATTCTACTCAACTCAGTGACTCAGGGCAGTCACTGGAAGACAGAGGTCTGACTTGCTGGCAATCTCCAGGCAATATTAATAGTAGGCAGATCGATGCCTGGAATACTATAGCAGCCAGAGCAATGCAATTAATTGAAGGCTGACCTTATGGAGAACTCTCCATTTACTGCCTCTGCGGAGAGAGCAATTACAGAACCAAAAAGAAGCAACCAGCCAAAATAGAAGCCAGAAGCATCTGTTAAATACTCAAAATGGAGTCACTTGTGGTAAGCCCCACCAAGTCTTAATGCCTTATTGCAAGTTTCATTCTCTCCCAGCAGTGGAATTTTAAACTGGTCTATAATTTCCTGATCAATACTTGTGAGATAATCTGAAAAGACCCTCTTGCCTTCTAAAGGAAGATGACCTGGCCTGAAATAATCCACCTTTTACCGCTGGCCCACCCTCCTCCTGCCTATAAAAACCTTCGATTTTGTACAACGCTTTGGAGCGCCCATCTATTGGCTAGATGGGTTGCTGCTGCTTAATTCATGAATCGTTTAATAAAATCAATTAGATCTTCAGATTTACCCAGTTTAATTTTTTGTTGTTGTTGTTCTTTAACAAACCTCACCATATTGTGAACTGGAACTGAGATCTAGGGTTTGTTAAGGTAGTTTCCTATGGACCATTCAGTGTCATCAGTTGTGGAAAGCCCCAATCCAAAACACCATCAGCACAAGTTTTAGTGTCTTGAATTTGTTTCAAAAGTCTGAAAAGCTTGATGAAATTAGGGATTAGGCCACTTGTCCCAGGCAACAAGCAAGAAAGAACAGCCATTCGAGAAGGTAACATGCTCAATATTTACGGTTTGGAACACAAGATTTAGTGAGCAAGAGGCAAGGTTCAAAATGGCTTTCAGTTTCAGGGATCTACCTGAAAGGAAAGAAGTAACCTCCTCTTGTTCCTGATTTCAACCACAATCAAGTTTTATGTGTACAAAGCTGGGAACCCCAGACAAGAAGTCATCCAATTGCAAAGGTCTTGAAAAGTTATCCGAATGTTTTTTTCCTTTTTTCCTGGCTCAATTGCTCGCCACTATCCTATGTACTTGTGAGATAGTTACAAATATTAAAATCTTTGTCAGAAAAGCCAAATATCAAGGCATTGCACTCTAGAATAATTGATATTTAGTGTTTTGCCAGCTGACTCTCCCAGAAAGAATTAAAGTTCAAAATGTGCTGACACCTGACGAGAGACTAAAAAGCATGCCTTTCTCCTTATAGGGCATTGCCCATAATAAATATTCTCAAAGCAGGTGCTTCTTGAATTCAATAAAGAAATCTAAAATCATATTTTAGAGTGGGGATTCCCTACTCATCTTTACATCCATTCTGAAGACAGGTTAGAGCCTGGGTTCAAATCATAGGTCCACTACTTACTAGCTACGTGACCTAGAGCAAATTAATCAACCTTAGTTTGTTTTCTCCTCTAAAAAAAAAAATTAAGTACCTGTATCACAGGATAGTTAGCAGTAAATTTTATATTTGCAAAGCACATAGAACAGTGCTTACAAGTCTCAATACTTAATCTTACATAAATATAACTAACTCTCAGCTGGCTTACGAATTATAAAAATTTAAGGTAATTCCAAAGTTGTCTGGATCAGCGCAGAGGATCCACATATTAGGCACTCAAGCATGTGTTAAGTGGTAACTGTGTTGAGTGTAATGATGTTGAGTCCTGTTGAAGCAGAATTAAAGAAATGACTTAATTGTGATCGTTTTCCAATTTTCTGAACAAAAATTCAAAACGAGGGCAGCTAAGGTGGATAGTGAATATTTGTTGATGCCTTCCACCCTAGGGGTAGATAAAGGGGGGAAAGTCCACTAGGGACTGAGTTTACCCTCCTGACACGCCCAATGCGCTCGAGGAAACCCAGAGAGGAAAGCTCTGTTGCAGCCACCGTGAGGCGGAGAGGACAGTGCGTAGTAAATCGAAATACGAGACCGAGGAACTGAAATCGGATTCTTCACTCGACTTGAAATATGACTCTCAGCCTCAGCGCTCCTGGAAAGTGCGGCGCGGTCGGGCCCACTAACCAAGAGAATTTGCGCCCGACCCTGTCAATAAGCTGCCCTGAAATCACCTGGTGAATGGCGCGCTAGACAAACAAAACGGTCAACACAGGAGTAACTGCTCCAGGTTCGCGAAAGCACTCGGCTGGAGAACGGCCCAGAGAGAGGGACGGGGTGGGGACAGTTGCGAAGTGCAGCCGCAGGCTGGGTCGCCGCCCCGGAACGGCGCCGACGCCCGGGGGAGAGGCGGTGATGGGAGCGGCGGGCGTCGAGGCGGGACTCCGCACACCGCCCCGCCCTGCGCAGCCCGGGGAGGAGCAGAGCCGAGGAACCGGGCACCAGCTCTAACCCGCTGCCGCAGCCAGGCTCCGCAGCCCCGCATGGGGAGGGCCGCTGCCGTCGCACCCATCAGGTCGTCCAACATTGCCGGCACCTGCCCAACAGATGCACAGCCGCTGCAGCCCCCAAAGCCGGAGCCTCTGACGCCACGCTGACGTCAGACATGACGCCGCGGCGGGGCGGGATCCGGGAAGGCGCAGGAGGGCGTTTCCGGAGCACGCGCCCGGCGAGGGCCGCTGAC